CCCTCCCTCCCTCCCTCCCTCCCTCCCTCCCTCCCTCCCTCTGTTAAATAGGCCCATGGTTTCTAATTTCCTGAGGAGACTTTTTCCTTTACTTTGAAGCACAGCTGATAATAAGTATGTCTTCTCCCTACTTAGTAGATTATTGAAACCCCACCCCCCTTCACTGAGGATGTAGTCTTTGTTGTGCCATGTGGGATCTAGCTCCCCAACCAGGGATCGAACCCGGGCCCCCTGCACTGGAGCGTGGAGTCTTAGCCACTGGAGCACCAGGGAAGTCCTGAGGATGTAACCTTTGAGCAACATGGCCTTATGTAGGAGTTTTCCTTCAAATCTTCAGCTCACAATTGGTTCCTTTCTCTGAGAGTTAAAACTCAGTTCTCTAGGTTATTCAGATCCCCACTTATACTCTCCAAGATTAGTGGTATCGACTCTAGTGTATACTGTCTGGCTTTTAGCTTCTTCTTCGTTTTTTTTTTTTTTTGTTCTTTTTTTTTTCTCTTCTTCGTTTTTGATCCCTAGGGATTGCTTGTGGTTCTTGTAAGCCAAACTGTTCATTTAAAGAAGTTTGTTATATTTAATCTGGGATTTTTAGGTGCTTCTAGGGAGGGTTTGCAGTTATCAGTCTAGTTCGCTTATTGTTGGATTGTCTTAAAATAGGATGATATCCTATTCTCTGTTGAGGAAGTTCTCTTGCTTTCTTTGAGAAGACTGACCCAGAGCAGTCTCAGAGTCAGGCTTTACCCAGGAAAACAGTTCATACGTATTGATGAGATTAGTGCAACTGCATCCAGAGGATGAGGCCAGAGTCAACAAGCAATGTAAAGTACTCCAGTGGGAAATGGTCAGGGCCAGAGAGAGCAAAATAGGGGTTAAGCCTCTTATCAAGTCATGAATTGTCTTTTATGTATCATTCTCCAGGCCCTTATTATTCTTTGAAAAGATTTGTGGAGAATGGTTTATGAGGGGAAAATGGTCCGAGTGGAAAACTGTATCCTGCTGGGATTGTGATAGGCATTGTGTTTTATCTGTAGATCAGTTTGAGAAATATCTTTATCAACATTTTTAAGTCCTCCTATACATGAGCATGGATATTCCATTTGATGATGTTCCACTTATCTACGTTGCTTTAATTTCTTTCAACAATGTTTTGTAGTTTTCAGAGTGTAAGTTTTGTACTTACTTTGCTGTATTTGTTCCTAAGTATTTTAATATTATTTCTGAGGCTATTAGAATTGCAATTTCATCCTCATTTTTTTTTTTTGGCCTCACCATGCAGCTTGCAGGATCTTCGTTCCCTAACTAGGGATT